GAGGAGGAGGAGGAGGAGGAGGAGGATGAGGAGGAGGAGGAGGAGGGGGAAAAGGAGGATGAGGAGGAGTTGGAGGACCAGTGTAAACCCAGGAGCCATCAAAGATGTTGGAGTACCCCCCCCTCCAAGCTTCCTCTTCGTAGGCCCCTGCAACGGTTCATATCCACTGATGGAACTGCCTCGTTGGAAGACACCCGTTTGAACCCTGAAGCATGCCAAAACAGTGTCCTCGGGATTCCAACGCCACATATCAACCTGACTGTTGCGTCCTGACGATCCTGAATCGTGCCAGAACGCCATTCCTGGGACTGCAACACAGAGAATCACCGTAACTCCTGCACTTGTATAATCCTGAATCCTTCCAAAACACCATTTCTGGTACGTTGGTGATGGGAATCCGTGAAACTCTTGCAATTTTTGTAAAAGAATGTGCGCTGCGCTAAAGCGAGAGCCACATTTTGAACAGGAGCCGCCCTCAATCCGTGAAACTCTTGCATGTTTTACAACATGTGCGCCGCGCTACGGCGAGAGCCACATTTTGAAAACGACCCGTCCTCAATCCGTGAAGCTCTGGCCATCAACAAAACGAATGTGCGCCGCGCTACAGCGAGAGCCACATTTTGAAAAGGAACCGCCCTCAACCCGTGAAGCTCTTTGCACATTTTTAGAACGAATGTGCGCCGCGCTCAGGCGACAGCCACATTTTGAAAACCACCCGCCCTCCATTTGTGAAGCGGTTGCCAATTTACAAACTTCAAGGTCATACATGGTGAGGAAGTCTCAGGCGAAACGCCCAGCCCGCCCTAAAAACTTGCCTCGGGGTGCGACAGGGGACAGTCATTTATAAGGAAGAGGAATGAAGGAGGAGGAGGAGGAGGAGGAGGCGGCGGCGGCGGCGGCGGCGGCGGCGGCGGCGGAGGAGGAGGAGGAGGAGGGCGAGGAGGGGAGGAGGAGAGGAGGAGGGAGGAGAGGAGGAGGAGGAGGAGGAGGAGGAGGAGGAGGAGGGAGGAGGAGGAGGCGGAGGAGGAGGAGAGGACGGAGGAGGAGGAGGAGGGAGGAGGAGGAGGAGGAGGAGGAGGAGGAGGATGGCGGAGGCGGAGCGGAGGCGGAGGCGGAGGCGAGGAGGAGGAAGGAGGAGGAGGAGAGGAGGAGGAGGAGGAGGAGGAGGAGGAGGAGGAGGAGGAGGAGGAGAGGAGAGGGAGGAGGAGGAGGAGGAGGAGGAGGAGGATGAGGATGAGGAGGAGGAGGAGGAAGGGAGGAGGAGGAGGAGGAGGAGGAGGAGGAGGAGGAGGGGGGAGGAGGGAGGGAGGAGGAGGAGGAGGAGGAGGAGGAGGGAGGAGGAGGAGGAGGAGGAGGAGGAGGAGGAGGAGGAGGAGGAGGAGGAGGGTGGACGGAGGGGAGGCCACTCCACTGGCGGGTGTTGCCCAGGCCACCCGAATGGGCCCGAGGGGGACCTCTGGCCTCCCGCCTCGCGGTCCGGGCTGGGCAGTCGCGCCCAGACCTTCGATGGGAGCGTGCGCGCGGACCCACTGTCACGGGGCCACCTCCCTCACCCCCTTCCTCTCCCAGGAGGGGGAGGAAGGGGAGGGTGGAGGAGGGAGGAGGGCTCGACGCGGTGGTGGTGCATATTCTTGGGGCCCGCCTTTGTGTTCGGCTGCTCTCTGCCGGGGCGTGGCGCCCCGCGGGCCGTTTCCGAGCAGGCCTTTCGCGCTGGAGCTGGCGGGGGGGGGGGCGGTGGCCCAGCACCGGGCCCGGCCAGCAGCGAGGGGGGGCGGGAACGTCGAGGCCCCCTCGTCGCCGCGGCTGGCCCTGGCCCCAGTTCTGTGGCCCTGGAGCCCGGGCGCAGCCTCAAGAGGCGGCCCGAGTGGCGAGCCAGAGCGTCCGCCTCGATGCCCTCAGCCTGCCGGAGGTCTGGGCTCGTCTGCTGGAGCTCGGGACTCGTCGCCACGGCTGGTCCCGGCCCGCGGTTCTCCTTTGCGTGGCCCGGAGCCCGGGCGCAGCCTCAAGTCAGGGCGGCCAGAGTGGCGAGCAGAAGCGTCCGCCCTGGTTCCCTCGACCTGCCGGAGTCCTGGGCTCGTCCGCAGGGGGCCGCGCGAGGTAGCGAAGAAGGGCCACGCGCCGCGCACCGAGCGCCAGATCGGTTTGCGACGTGGGGTGGCTCTGGTCGACGTTGGGTCTCTCTCGAGGCTGCTGCGGCGCCTGGCCAGAGGCGGAGGAGGAGGAGGAGGAGGAGGAGGAGGAGGAGGAGGCCCAGGCCACCCGCATGGGCCCGAGGGGGACCTCTGGCCTCCCGCCTCGCGGTCGAAGTTGGGTCTCTCGAGGCTGCTGCGGCGCCTGGCCGGAGGCGGGCGTGGTCGCGCTTCCCATCCGCCGCTCGGTCGGCAGCTCGCTGTACGGAGTGGATGAGGAGCTCGGAGTCGTCGTCGTCCTGGCGCCGATTAACGACTGCGACGTCGCTGTCGTCGACGCCGCCGTCGTCGACGCCAGCACCGACGATTTCAGGCTTTCGGATATCTTGCTCTTTCGAGTTTCGAGCTTCGGGTGTCTTTCCTCGGTTTCGGGTTAATTGCCTCTGGGGGCCCTTTTCGGACCCCAGAGTGTCAGAAATAGATCCAGGATTGGCCAGGATGGTCCTTGGGACGAGTCTGGGCATCGATCTTGAGAGTATTTCGTGTCTGCGTCCAGGGCAGATCGGCGGCTGCGACGACGACGACGACGCCATCGTTTAGTTCCTAATTATCTTGTGGCGTTGGGCCCTCGTTTTGAAGAGAGAGTGCCCAGTGTTTCTCCTTCTCCTCTTCCTCGCCTCTTCTCCCATCCTCCCATCCCTGCCCCTGCCTTCCACACCCAGTACAGCGTTTCGTGGCCCCATGGGAAGCTCCACCGAAGCGCTAGTGGCTGTGACCACATGCGTCCGCGCCACCCGGTACAGCGCTTCGTGGCCCCATAGGTAGCCCCGTCGAAGGCCCCAGTGGCTGTGGCCACATGCGTCCGCGCCACCCATTACGGCGTTTCGGGGCCGCATAGGGAGCTCCACCGAAAGCCCCTGTGGCTCTGACCACATGCGTCCGCGCCACCCAGTACAGCGCTTCGTGGCCCTATAGGGAGCTCCACCGAAAGCCCCAGTTGCTGTGACCACATGCGTTCGCGCCACCCACTGCCGCGCTTCGTGTCCCCATACGGAGCTCAACTGGAAACCCCAGAGGCTGTGACCACACGCGCCTGCGCCACACAGTACAGCGTTTCGTGGCCCAATATGCAGCTCCACCGAAGGCCCCGTCGCTGTGACCACATGCGTCCGCGCCACCAGGTACAGCGTTTCGCGGCCCCATGGGAGCCCCGTCGAAGGCCCCAGTGGCTGTGGCCACATGCGTCCGTGCCACCCATTACAGCGTTTCGGGGCCGCATAGGGAGCTCCACCGAAGGACCCAGTGGCTGTGGCGACATGCGTCTGCACCACCCAGTACGGAGCTCCACCGACGGCCCCTGTGGCTGTGACCACATGCGTTCGCGCCACCCACTGCCGCGTTTCGTGGCCCCGTTAGGAGCTCTGCTGAAGGCGCCAGTGGATGTGACCACGGCCGTCCGCGCTACCCATTACAGCGTTTCGCGGCCGTATACGGAACCCACCGAAGGCCCCCGTGGCTCTGACCACACGCGTCCGCGCCGCCCAGTACATCTCGTCATGACCCCATAGGGAACTCCGCCGAAGGCCCCAGTGGCTGCGACCACATGCGTCCGCGCCACCCACTGCGGCGATTCTGGCCGCGTGAGGGGCTCCACCGCAGGCCCCAGTTGTTGTGGCCTCATGCGTCTGCGGCACCCAGTGCAGCGATTCGGAACCGTGTGGGCAGCTCCACCGAAGGCCCCCAACGTCTGCGATCACATGCGTCTGCGCCACCCAGCGCAGCATTTCGTGGGCTCGTAGGGAGCTCCACCGAAGGCTCCAGTGGTTGTAACCACATGCGTCCGCGCCATCCAATGCCGCGTCTCGTGGCCCAATAGGGAGCTCCACCGAAGGCCGCGGTGGCTGTGGTCGCAGGCGTTTCCCCCGCCTATTTCAGCACACCTCTCGCGCTTTTCGTGGCCTGCCTCCACGGAACTCCACAGGAGGCTTCGGCGGCGGTGTCCACGTGCGCCCCCCCCGCCCATGTCGGCATGCCCGTCGCGCGTCTCGTGGCCCCGTGAAGGCTTTCCCTCCTTCATGCCATCTGCTTTGCGGTATTCAAAATTGCATATGGTCGGGTCCTTCGCCAGGAGTATTTGATTTTGGGTATTTTCCAATCGTCCGGTAGTGTTGGGTGTCCGTTTTGAAGAGACAGCGTCCCGCGTCGCTTCTTCGTTCTACTCCCTTCCTCCTTCCTCCCATCTGTGCCTTCTGCCCTCCGCATGCCAACCACTTCGGTGCACCCTCGCGCGCTTCGTGGCCCCATAAGGGGGCTTCGCTGAAGCCTCCAGTGGCGACGTCCCCATGCGTCCGCGCCGCGCATGTCGGCGCACCCCTGACACGTTTCGTGGCCCCATAAGGGGGCTCCACCTGAGGCTCTAGTCGCGACGTCCCCGTGCGTCCGCGCGCCACATGTCGGCGCGCCCCTCGCGCGGTTCGGTGCCCCACAGGGAACTCCACCTAAGGCCCCAGCGGCGGCGTTCCCATGCGTCCGTGCCGCATGTTTGGGCACACCCCTCACGCGGATTGTGGCCCTATACGCACTTCCACCGACGATCGCTGCGACCGTCCTCGCGCGCGCCTTTCCCCGTCAGTTTCGGCGCGCCCCTCGTGCGCTTCGTGGCCCCGCAGGGAGCTCCACCTAACGCCCCAGCTGCGACGTTCCCATGCGTCCGCGCCGCGCATCTCGGCGCGCACCTCGCGCGTTTCGTGGCCCCTGTAGGGAGCTCCGCCTAGGGCTTCTGTGGCGACGTTCCCATGCGTCCGCGCCGCAAAATTCTAGACCTTCGCGTATCCCCACCAGTTCTACTATCCCGAGAGTTGGAGGACCCGA